AATTTACAAATAAAAAGAAATATAATTATGGATGAGAAAAAGAACCGGGTAGATAAATGTGCACTGTTCCGTCGCGGAAACCACTATATATTAGTGAAGGAAGGGGGGGGGGGGGGGGGGGGGGGGGTCTTGCACGCCATAATCTTAGGAATTTTCACTACCAAAATGTTACCTAAGCACCGAAAACTGTATTATTTGCAGTTTAAGATAGAAAAAGTTAGTTATCCTTTCAGTCATTGAAGTGTTCAATTAGACCCTTTTCCGTAAACAGTTTGCCTCCATCGATGACCCTGAAAAACGACGGAACTACATGAGTAACTCGACGGCCTTAACAAAATGTGACGCCATAGTAACGTGGCATATAGTAGAAAATTGACGGTCAATATTTTCACGCTAAAATGGAGAAAGAGTAATAAAATCAAGTTTTCTAGGTCGGTATTTCAGAGACTCATGGACTAGTGGTTCTAAGGGACTGTTCGCTTTAATTTGTATGTGTATTTATGTAAATAAACGGCTGTTCATGAAATATGCATAGAGGCCCGTTTCTCGCAAGTCACGATAATTTTAAACGGGCCTGGAAAGCTGTTGCTGAGTTGTTCATATTCGTTTCCATAATTTTGCAGATAATGACCCGCGTATTTATTCTTTAGATTTTGATGCGAATACAGTATATACGCGTAAAAACCCGTGACTAAGAACATGCATTTTGCCAAGTTAGCCAAAACAGCTTGTTACATAAGTAGTAATTAGCAAGAATTTATGCTATTTCCTATTTTCTGAAAAATAAATTGCATTGTAGCAGAGAGTATTTCGTGGTATCAAGAGCCATAAAGTGGTATATTCAGCTTAATACCTTAAAATGACTAAAAGACGAAAAACTGAAGCATCGACCACAAGAATATTTCGTGGTATATTGAGCTTATATCTTATATACAATTTGCATACCTAAATAGAACTTATGTTAAAATGAGCATAAGAAGAAGAATTGAAGCATCGACCTTAAGAATTTTGAACACGTTTCAAACTAAAATGTGTTTTTCCAAACTTCAATAATCGTAAAAAACGCCTCATTTCACGCGGCAAAAATGCGATTTCCGTCAGAAACATAAACTCTTTACTGCAGATATAACAAGAGTTGGAGCCGTACACTCTTTTGTTTTTCTTTAAGAATATATTTTATAAAAATATTGGGGCTGAAATTTGCGAGATTTTGAGAATATTTTAGGAATAAATCCGAGGCTGAGGATTTGAAAAGGATTTGAAAATCTGTAAATACAGTACATTTCATGTTTTACCTTAAGGCGGCTCGATACAGTTTTTCAGGGCCAGTACCTCCCAAGTTTGAGCATAAACTACGTCGCCTTAAACAAAGTTTTGGGAGAAATGTTTTGTTTACAAAGTTTCATAGTTTCGTGCAAAACAATAGCTAGCATTTTTGCATATTTCAAATACATTGTTAGTTACTGCTGTCCACGTGAAAATGAAACATGGAGACAATGCCTTGAATGATGAGAGGCTTTCACTTGTAATGACGAAACTTCCAATAAAAAAGTAACGAATTGTAGCCCTTATTTTACTGTCTTGCAACATATCAATAATCTTGAAACTAAAAGGTCATATAAATAGTCTGGAATATCCCAAAATTTAAGGACAGGGCCAACTGGTCACGCGACACTTTTCAACCAATGAGAAGGCGCGCTTTTGTTTATCAACAAACAAATCAAAACATCGCCCCAGTGATAAAAAATTTTCAAAACAGCGAACGGAGTCGGACAGAATCAGTCATCGTTTCGAGGCTCTCTGGCATATTTTTAAGACTTTTCACGAGGCATACAAAATTTTTTTAAGTGGACAGGGTATCGGAAGCCATATTGGAAGTGTCTCGTGAAATATTCAGCACATTTTTTGGCTTATTTCCTCATTTAAACAACGTGATGTATAGGCGAGATTTTGGTTGGTTTTTTAAGGTAAGCGAACAAGTATGTATTATTTTTTCG